GCGAAAGAACAGTGAAAGATGAAGAAAAATGAAATGGATAATGATGGGAAACATTTACATGATGAAGGAAAATGGCTGATGTACCAAATGAATAGTTTACCCAGGTGTTCAACAACGAAGAAATCAATATGCCTTAAGCTGTGGAAGGGCCTGATGGGATTCTACCAATTGTACTTCAGGAAACAAGAGATTTGATTCACAGGCTGTTAGCAAAACTCTTCCAACAGTCACTCAAGACAGGGTAGTACCAATCCAATGGAAAGTATCTAATGCAGAGCTCGTCCATGAAAAGCATGCCAAAACTGAACCAAGTAATAAGACCAATAAATCTTTATGCTATTCTGTGTAAGCTATGGAACTGATCATTTAAACTAAACTAGAGGGCCATCTATATGGAAAAAGGATCCTAGGGGACAGTCGAGATGGTTTTAGAAAAGTTAAGACTTCCTTATTTTTAAAATCTATGGTAACCAACAGTCAACAGTAATGGGCAGAATGAACATAGAATAGGGTTACTTAGATGTTAAAAAGGCTTTTGGTAGAGATCCATGTAAAAGCAAGTCTCAAATTAGAGTCAGTCAGCATTCAAGGTGCAGTAACAAGTGTGCATGGACTGTGAACCTGTTTAATGGATAGGAAACAAACAGTAAGAATAGGGGATAAATAATTCAATTAAATCAAATTTTTGATATAATAAATGTAGTACCACATGAATCTGTATTAGAATAATTGCTTTTCCTAATTTATATCATCAACATACAGTGGTGTGAAAAAGTGTTTGCCCCCTTCCTGATTTCTTATTTTTTTGCATGTTTATCACACTGAAATGTTTCAGATCATCAAACAAATTTAAATATTATAATAAGATAACACAAGTAAACACAAAATGTAGTTTTTTAAATGAAGGTTTTTATTACTAAGGGGAAAACAAACCAAATCCACTGTGGTTTATCACATCTTTGGAAAGCTGAGTTCAATTTCTCTAGCCACACCTAGGCCTGATTACTGCCACACCTGTTCTCAATCAAGAAATCACTTAAATAGGACCTGCCTGACAAAGTGAAGTAGACCAAAAGATCCTCAAAAGCTAGACATCATGCTGCGATCCAAACAAATTCAGGAACAAATGAGAAACAGAGTAATTGAGATTTATCAGTCTGGAAAGGGTTAAAAAGCCATTTCTAAAGCTTTAGGACTCCAGGGAACTACAGTGAGAGCCATTATCCACAAATGGCGAAAACATGGAACAGTGGTGAACCTTCCCAGGAGTGGCCGGCCGACCAAAATTACGCCAAGAGCGCAGCGACGACTCATCCAAGGGGTCACAAAAAACCCCACAACATCCAAAGAACTGCAGGCTTCACTTGCCTCAGTTAGGGTCAGTGTTCATGACTCCACCATAAGAAAGAGACTGGGCAAAAATGGCCTGCATGGCAGAGTTCCAAGACGAAAACCACTGCTGAGCAAAAAGAACATAAAGGTTCGGATCAGTTTTGCCAGAAAACATCTCGATGATCCCCAAGACTTCTGGGAAAATACTCCGTGGACTGACGAGACAAAAGTTGAACTTTTTGGAAGGTGTGTGTCCCGTTACATCTGGCGTAAAAGTAACACAGCATTTCAGAAAAGGAACATCATACCAACAGTAAAATATGGTGGTGGTAGTGTGATGGTCTGGGGCTGTTTTGCTGCTTCAGGACCTGGAAGACTTGCTGTGGTAAATGGAACCATGAATTCTGCTGTCTACCAAAATATCCTGGAGGAGAATGTCCGGCCATCTGTTCGTGACCTCAAGCTGAAGCGCACTTGGGTTCTGCAGCAGGACAATGATCCAAAACACACCAGCAAGTCCACCTCTGAATGGCTTAAGAAAAACAAAATGAAGACTTTGGAGTGGCCTAGTCAAAGTCCTGAATCTGATTGAGATGTTGTGGCATGACCTTAAAAAAGCGGTTAAGGCTCGAAAACCCTCCAATGTGGCTGAATTACAACAATTCTGCAAAGATGAGTGGGCCAAAATTCTTCCACAGCACTGTAAAAGACTCATTGCCAGTTATCACAAACGCTTGATTGCAAGGGTGGCCCAACCAGTTATTAGGTTTAGGGGGCAACTACTTTTTCACACAGGGCCATGTAGGTTTGGATTTTTTTTCCCTTAATAATAAAAACCTTCATTTAAAAACTGCATTTTGTGTTAACTTGTGTTATCTTTGTCTAATATATTTCAATTTGTTGGATGATCTGAAACATTTCAGTGTGACAAACATGCAAAAAAATAAGAAATCAGGAAAGGGGCAAACACTTTTTCACACCACTGTACCATACTACATAACTGCAGATGACCACAAAATCTGGAACAGCAAATAGTTCAGAATATACATTCAAAAACACTTAGGCCAGGTTTTGAATTTGACAAATACTGTAACTTTTATGTGCTATTGAATGCAGGTTTGCAGAGCCTGGGGTGCTGAGTCTGCTCTCCCCATGCTCAAGTATGGGGAGCCAGCGGCCATATCACCCTGCAACTCACAACTGGCAGCCCACTGAAGCTAAGCAGGTGTGAGCCTGGTCAGTACCTGGATGTGAGACCTCCTGGGAAAAACTAAGGTTGCTGCTGGAAGAGGTGTTAGTGGGGCCAGCAGGGGGCGCTCACCCTGCGGTCCATGTGGGTCCTAGTGCCCCAGTATAGTGACGGGGACACTATAATGTAAACAGGCGCCGTCCTTCGGATAAGACGGAAAACCGAGGTCCTGACTCTCTGTGGTCATTAAAAATCCCAGGGCTTCTCTAGAATAGTAGGGGACACCTGTAACCCCGGCATCCTGGCCAAATTTCCCATTGGCCCTTACCAATCATGGCCTCCTAATAATCCTCCTCTATGAATTGGCTACATTACTCTGCTCTCCTCCCCACTGAGAGCTGGTGTGTGGTGAGTGTTCTGGCGCACTATGGCTGCCGTCGCATCATCCAGGTGGATGCTGCACATTGGTGGTGGTGGAGGGGAGTCCCCATTACCTGTAAAGCGCTTTGAGTGAAGTGTGCAGAACAGCGCAATATAAGTGTAAGAAAGACCCTACTGGGAGGTTAAATGGCTTCTAAAAAAAAACAGACCCTGGTGTGTGTGTGTGTGTGTCTGCACCGTGATGGACTGGTGTCCCTTCCAGGGTGTATCCCACCTTGATGCTTGCCAGGATAGGCCCCAGCTCCCCCAACACCCTGAATTGGATGAAGTGGTTAGAAAATGGGTGGATGAATTAATAAATATTAATTGCTGCTTCAAAATGTCATGATTGCATCCCTTTAAGTTGTAACATGTACAGTGTGCTATATTGAAAGGACACCTCCAATAACAATGCCCTTAGTACTACTAGTTTGGAGGAAGTGTGTGGACAGGTCCTGTGTGTTTCGTTCAAAGACAAGCCCCTGTAGACCTGTGATACCATCAAAAAACAGCACTGTGACTGGACAGAGGTAGAGAACCACAAGCACGTGTTTATAAGACCAGTGATGTCACTATAGATGTGGCTTTCTCTCTTGGCTGTTCTGGCTCTGAAAAGACATGAACTGAACCCCAACTGATATCTCTGACCACACTGCCACTTTGGTCGCACACACATGGGTTTGATGGGCCAGATGAGGCCTCAAGGGCCCTAAGTCCTACACCCCTGTGCTAGAGTTGGGTATCATTGCAGTACAAGGGAGGTGCTCATCTTTGCAGATCTACACTGCACAAAACTGAGCTTCACCGGACTTGGTATGAACCTTAAACCAATATCATTGCTTTCGCATTTTACTCTTAGTACTCCATAACACAATGACAATGCAATGTCTGTGAGGCAACAAAAGTTACAGTCTAGTTGATTTCTGGCACATCGAGGTGTGACAATGCACCATGGACTGTGGGGGGGGTTTGAGATGGACCTGTGACTCAGAAGTATCTTTTAGGATAGAGAAAAAACAGTCTGTCTGTGCAAAACTGAAGAACAAAACTGACTGAACTTTGAAGCTACCATCCCAGGGGATCCTTTTTTATTTTCGCTTTGTCCTCAAATTTCGTATCATCTGACAGATCTAAGGCTCTTTCAACACAAACTAAATGTTAGCGCCCCTGATCAAGACAAAGCCTGAATTCTAAGCAAACGCTTCCAAGCAGATTGCCAAAGGCTTAGCAACGAAGTAAAAATTATTTTTGTGCTAGCATATTCTGATGAGCAATAGTGGAGAGACATTGTTAACAGCAGAAATCGATATTTATTATTTTGGGGGAACATGTCCCTACTTGATCAGCTGCACAGAGTTTTGTTATGATGTATTTGCGGGTAACAAAATAAATCTCCATTAAAATAAATGCCATTCTTTGACTTACTGATGCAAATATATAAGGTAAGCAGCAGTCTAACAGGATAATCAGAGACTATTAATCAGGAGATTAGAAGAGAAATTGGGCCAGCAACAACAATAATCCAAACAAGACAGTTCTAAATTGCTTTAAAAAAAAGGAGCATTTTTGGCCAACTAAGCTTTATCAAAAAGAAAGTTCCGTCACCAAATTAGGAAAGTGCAGTATCTGGTTTCTTATACTAACTTTCTTCCCTGACATACAATTCATCTTGTGATCGCTGAATTTTTACACCACTTTTGATGATGCATGAAAGATATTTTTGAATAGAATTTGCAAAGCAACGATTATTCAGAACCTTTCAACTTCATACACCGCCTGCGGGAATATTCCTGTTAAGAAGCAGATAAGTGATAAGAAGAGAGGGCCCGCAAGAAAATCATAATTCAACTCACTACAACAGCATAGGAGTGGAAACACTTTTGTAGTTCAAAAAGTATTTAAATACAAATCTAACGGCTCTGTCCCCACGTGATCCTGATTTTAGTTACTCAGTGTCCCTTTACAGTAAAAACAAGGTATCGTGTGACATCATCTTACTGTATATCGTATTTCTAACTTCTTCCAACTGCATTGCGAGTGTGGATAAAGAACTCCTCACCTTGACATGAGGTTTAGACAGCAGCTTCAGCAGCTCTCGGATCTCGCTGTTCATGGACTTGTTCTGCAGCTCCTCAGCCAGCTGTAAGGGAGATTGAATTGACACAAAGACCATTAGCCAGAGCATTGTTTTACCCACTGCGTCAGTGACAACCAAGAATCTATCTTGTTCAAGGTTATTACTTTCCAGTGTGTTCAAACAGAAGCCAGCATGAAGAAAAACAGACCATCAATCACTGGTCTTCCCTGCTAGCCAGTGACAGACCCGATTCAAGCCAGGCCGTAGGGCTCAGTCTAACCCGTGGAACTGTTCCTCAGCATCCGGTTCACATTCTGATTTATTGCGAGCAGGCAGGCAGGCAGAGCTGCGGCGCTTCGGTTACATAAACCACTGCCGGAGTGGAGACAAAGGGCTGTTTGTACGAAAACAGGATCCGAACTTCTGACACCATCTCCGTAGAATGCCTTTTCAGCAAGAGGTGGTGAAAATTCACATCATCATTTCTGAAACGTCCCACATTCACAGGAGGCAACAGGGGGAAGGGATGGAGGCTGACAGATGCCGGCCTTGGTCAACAGCTACAGAGTCTGGGGCCTGAGGAGCCACGGTCGTGTAACACGTTCGGAAAACAATGAATAAGTATGGATCTTCAGACCGCACAGTGATCAGACAAACCACCGCATGAGCAGTCTGTATCTAAATATGAATGAAAAAGAGGCTTTAAAATTAAGTTCCTCAGTATACGACAGCCCGGGAGTTTACAATTACGAGCACCCAGTTCGCAGGCTATATTTAGGGATGACTAATTACTCTTCAGGTGATGTAAGAGGTCCTGCGTTTAATGAAAGGTACAGCTGTGGCTCAGTGCCTTTAAACCCCCTTTCCTCCCCCTGTCGCCGAGCTCTGTGGACTTTTCCACTGCCAGCATTCCTGAAGCTGACAGCGCACTGATTGATGACTGCGGCAGCACAGCTGATTCCCCTGTCCTCTCTAGGAAACCTGCTCTCCAGTTCACCAAGCGTCGCCCACTTGCAGCGGGGAGGCCATCGCAGCTGGCTGGCAGCTCGGGAGAGCTCTCGAGCAGAGACATGAACACAGGCAAAGAGCTGAAAACTTAACAGGGGGGAAAAAAAAACGTTGTACTGTTTGCGACCTGCACTGTGTATTAGCATCTGATAAGAGATGAGAGTTTATTCCACCTGGTTTTATTTCAGAGGCTTATATGATTCTTTAAAAGCAAAACATACATGCAAGAACATGCTGGTCAAGAAAAGATAAAGCACATTTTTACAGCAGGCAGGGCGCACAATTAGCAGATACAGGATCCCGTACTACTAGGGCTAAGATTAGACTTTTGTGCTGGGATGCCCAGAGACAAGCTGGAAAAGCTCAAGGTGGAATTTCATTGTTTGCATTTGGATGTACAGCAGTGCTAACATTTAGAACACGTTCCACACTGTACACTGTGCCAGGTCTCGTCCGGCAGCCCTAATGTAATGAAGAAAGTCGTAGGGAGAGGTGACCCTCATTTTTGTCTTTCCGTTCTTAGAAAATGGACATCTTCAGCGTGCACTGCCTCTGCCCAGTTCACAGAACAAAGTCAGACTCTGCACGTTTTCATATAGTCCTATGTCCTATACCTTTATAATCTTACCTCCGAAAAAGAACTTTCCCAACTTATTTGTCCTTCCTTGAATCTCTTTAGGAATTCAAGATTCCGCTCTGAAAAAAACTGATGTGAACGTGCACCAGATGATGCACAATCTGAAGCTCGGGCAGGACTCAGTATTGGTATCCCATCTCACAACACAACCGCGCCATTAGCTCAAGTGGTGTCACTCGTCCAACTTATCCAGCTCACAGTGTTAGAAAAGCAGCAGACGTCTCTGACAGCTCACACACATCAGAGCAACGTGCATGTGCCTATGCTCGCTCTGCCGGCTGGAGAGATGCAGAAGCCGAGTCAAGCCAATTAACAATTGGCAATTACAACTTTGGAACAGGGAAGGTATTAAAACATTACTGGCGATTCCAAAATCCTAAAAAAAAAAGATTCTACAATTCTAATATTCTAATGTGCAGATGTGAACGACAAGAAATGGTATAGCCTAGTTCCAATTCTTTACATTCTGCAAATCATTTCCTGAGACCAGCAAATGTGTATAAGGGCTTCTGAAATATAATGTGAAATCATGAAAAATGGGGAACCTGAAAAGGTCTGTAAGAAATATCAAATTTAATCTTTTCTACTGACCATTAATGGAATAAAAATCACAGCAGATCCTCTTTCCTCCTTCTTTCTGCGACGGTTATAGACTCTGTGGAATTTACTTTGCTACGCCTGAGCAGGGGATTCGACAGCGGAAGGTTTGTTTTTCATAACTTGTCTCTCTTCTCCCGCAGCGCTGCGGTGTGTCTACGGAGTTGAGTTCGGCGCACCTAATGACCTCACCGCGAAGGCCTGCTTCATAAAGAAGCTTTCTTTCTGGACCTTGAACTCTGGGCTTTGCCCTCGTCTTCTTATTCTGGTTGACATGAACATCGGGGGGGGGTTTCCTAAAGAAACACTGCCCTGAAGAGCCTGGTGGCAGCCCCTCTGTACAACACACAGGGCTTAGGCGAATATCCCTTTTTTCGTGCTCCTGACTCAGGACTAATTACAATGATGTATAGCTGCACTTTCTTAAAAAGAAGAGAAATCCTTTTTAAGCACTTTTAATTACAATGAACAGACCCTGGGATGCTGACAAACCACAGATCATTAAGTCGTTGACTTTCTCCTTTCCTAACCAGACTGCCCTTCGGTTTACACAGGTGTGTATGTAATATAACTGAATGTTACATTTTACGATCAGCAAGAGAGGCAGAGGCAGCAGGTCATTTAAAAAGCACAAATTTATGACAAAGAGGGTTAAAATTATGACTTCAGGAAATTAACCATTCCATCAGAGCTAACGATTTTGATAGTATATTCCAGAGGGTACGGGGGCTATTCGGAAAGTGGTTGTATCAATAAATCACTCGTCAAGAATACAGGTAAATGGTGACAGGTCCTTCCAAATTTATTTATTTCATATGCCTCATTTCTTTTGTTGTACCTGTCATTTTTCTTTGCCTGTCAGCTCCCTGACGCTCCCATCCATCTTTATTTTTCTTGCACATTCCTCCACTCTTTCCGTTGCCCAAAATACCATTTGCTTGACAATCCCTCCCTCCCCTGGGGTGGGGGTGGGGGCGGGGGGGGAGAGGGCCGAGACCTGGATTTTCTATCACATGGCAGTTCAAACTGAAACAAGGGCGCTCCCTAGATGCCCCGTGTGTGTGAAGCAGAGAGGTCAGCACAGCTAGCTCGTGCAAAAAGGGCGAGATTTTGAAGTGCGAAAAATCAACAATCCAGCCAAAGACCTATGGGAGGTTGGATTTTTTTTTTTTTAAGGGAGAAAACAACTTGTCTCTGAGGCGGGAGACACTCACGGTATCCGCCAGGGCTTCTGCGCTGTGCAGCACTGGCGGCGGGCACTGTTTCTCATAGCGCTGTAGCTTCTCGTGAATCTGCAAGGGAAGAGGAGAGCGATCAGGACTGACTAGGTCGAAAGCTGGGTGGGCTAAGGGCAGTGGGGGGGAGGGAATCTAGTGGGTTCAACATCACCAGGGAGCACGGAAGCATAAGGAGGCTAAGAAAGGCAGTGCAAACAGAACGTCTCGGCTCCCAGAGTATCTGCTAACAAGAGAAACATCCGAGTGGAAAGGTGTCGAGGACCGTCTGAGACATTAAAGTAATTTATCATTAAACATCACACAACCCCCCCCCCACACACACACACACAAAATAGTGGTGTTTGGAAAAACATGGATTGAGACAGAGAAATTGAGTAGGGGGTAAAGAGGCAGCTTTGCTCCGTGGGGAATTCACTCCTCAAGTATCCTCTTTCTTCACTTCTGTCTTGCATCACTTTTTCCTTCATACCAAAAAAAGAATCACACTACATACTGTCATGCTACAGCACAGCCTGACAAATGGATATTAAGATATTACACAACAGTTCTCGTTTTCTATATTGGAATATATTTCTTTGGGGGTTCCATTTTTGCTTCCTGATTTCAGGAGGTATAGCTTATATCTGGATTCCGTGAGTGAGATGTTACTCTGTGAACCAGAAACTTTTACAGCACTTGCAACCTAGAGGTAACTGCTATAACAAAGGAACCTTCAACACAGAGTGTCTTAATAGGGCACTGGGCCACCATGAGCTGCATGACCAGCTTCAGTGCCTTGGCATAGATTCTACAAGTGTCTGGAACAGAGATGCAACACCATTCTTCCACAAGAAATCCCACCATTTGGTTGTTTTGTTGATGGTGGTGGAAAACGCTGTCTCAGGCAGCACTTCGGAATCTCCCATAAGGGTTCAAGTGGGTGGAGATCTGGTGACTGGGGCAGCCAAGGCAGGTGGTTTACATCATCTTCGTGCTCATCAAAGCATTCAGTGAAGCCTATTGGCCTTTGGATGGGGGCATTGTCTTCCTGGAAAACTCCACTTCCACCAGAATAGAAATGCCTCACCAGAGCACGAATGTTATCACTCAGAACAGTTCTGTATTTACTGGCATTTCCCTTAACATCTAGTGGGTTCAGTGGACCTACTGTAAACCGTTCCAGGAAAATGCACACCACACCACAACAGAGCTGCTGTAACCCTTGACCGTGGGAAACAAGCGCTTGGGCCAGTAGGCCTCTTTTGGCCAGAGATGTACTTGTCCACTTGTTGAGAAGAGGGTGAAGGATGACTCTTTTGATCGATGACTTTTTTCCACTGCTCAGTAGACTGCTACCTGTGTTCTTTGCACCACTGTACTCACAAAAGTGTATTTTTGTGTAATAAGAAGTAATGAGGGGTTTATGCAGCCTAAACCCAGTATCTTTCTCCGTGAAGCTCTCGAAGGACTGTTCTTGATGACACTGCCTGCTCATGCCTTAGATTGCCCATTTGCAGTCGGCTGATTCAGAGTTACTCATCTGTTTTGCCTTGCATCTCGAAACATGGATATCACGGTCGAGGAGTATGTGCTTCTGCCCTCAGTTGCTCCTAGCTGATTATGTATTTCCCGCAGACTTTCATGCCAACATCACCTCCATCACTATTCCTCATGAAACATCAGCAAGTCGAGCAGTCTTCATTAGTGAAGCTCCTGCCAAAAGCGCCCCAACAATCACCCTCTCTCAAAGTCACCGAGATCTAATCTTCTAGCCATGATAGGCAAAATAATGCCCAGCTGGGCCTGCTCAACATTTTTATACACGACCATGAGCATGCTGGGATGTTAATTGTTCAATGAACTCAAGAACCTTATCTGTGTGGAAACACCTGCTTTCAACATACTTTGTATCACTCATGTACTGTGTTTCCTTTATTTCCTTAATTACCTGAACTTCTAAACATATAGGCAGTAGAGTCATTGGAGTGTAATGTTTTAACTCTTAAATAAAAGAAACCCATTTGGTCATTGTCAATAAATGTTGAAAACAAAGGCAGGAATGAAAAATGATAGTCAAAGAAAGTTAACAGACATTAGGCTTTCTGAGTGGCTCAACTGATAAAAGATTTCTGCACCCAAGCATCTCATTCGGGCCATCTCTTGAAAGAAGCCAGGTTTTTAAGGTCATAGCCTAAATGCCTGGGCAGCTTGTTCTATGCACACACAACACTGTGTAGAGTGTGGGGCTCATCTGTGCCTTTGAGCATTTTGAGTGTATGTATCAAATCCCCTTGTAATCTTCTCTGTTCTAGACTATAATGACTGTGCACTTTTAGCATGTCAGTGTAGGACATTTCATTGGGCCAAGGAACCTATATAGTTGCACTTCTCTGGACTGACTCCAGGGTGAAATATATATTTTTGTATGTGGGAAACCGAAACAGTACACAACATTGTAAAATGAGGTCTTACTAGTGCGCTGAATAACTTTAGCGTAACATCCCTTGAGCCTTGAGGAAGTGCTGAAAGGCAGTCAGAGATGTGGGAGCTCTGGCTTCTGAGAGTAGATCTTTGCAGAGGAGTGGATGTGGAGGAGAGGGGGAGACAGGGGACTGGGGAGAGGCAGGAGCAGAGAGGAGCAGTTGAGATAGCTTGTGGAGACGAGATGTGTGCGACAGTAAGGAGCCCTTCGAGGGAGAGGAATTACAGTGTTAATAACAGGACAACGGCGAGAAAAAAGAAGAAATGTGAGCAGCGGAATTCCGAATGAATGAAAAACCTTTAAGGGATGTTTGGAAACCAATTCCCAAAAACTCATAGCTCAATCACATCATTACCTTTAGATGGAATTCAGGCTCAAAAGGAGACTGAATTAATTTGAATCTGGAAACTCAGAAGTGGATTTGAACGACAGCGTCTATACATTAACAAACTATTCATTTAGCTCAAGTAGCAGATATACTGGAGATATCAAAATGACCAGAATACCACACCTAATAATTCCCTGATATCAAATGCATGCTAACGGCTGTAAGAAATAATTCATTATTTAAACATACGTAGCACTGCTGTTTTCTGTCTCAAGGAATTAAGATGTACATTTGTGCAAGAAATCACACCATCCATCTCTGTGACACGTAGTATTATTCATATACCCTATATAATTAACTTCATACTTAGCCTAGAAATCTTTAATGATGTTTTATGTTTAGTATGTCATGTCTGCCAAGAACAACCCTTTTAGGTAATTCACATTCTGGCTTTGAAAGAGCACAACCACTGGGTTCAATTCCCCATGCAAAGTTGACATTATTCTACACATAAAACACTCTGCATTACATCTGTCATTCAATTACACCCAGAGGTGCTCCGCCAGTTCAGGCAGCTCGTATACAATGCTTGCACTGATAGCAGTAAAAAGAGCAGACATCCATGAGAAATGGAGAAGAAGAAACTTATGATACACCCTTCCTTGTGGCAAAGAGTGCCTGCTGAGAGGAGTTCTTGCAATAAGGTTGTTATAAAGTCAGGGAAAATGACTTTTCAGTCATTTTCCCTCCCCTCAGTCCCAAAGTCCTCTGAAGGACAAAGAGAAAAATACTGCTTTCATCTCCACTGAAATTTAAAAGCTGAATCTGTGTCCCTTTCGATGTGCTCCAATCCAGAAAATGACATCTGCTTTGAACGTTACAAAGTGTCTGGTTAGTTGCTGTGGAATCTTCTTGGTGAAGGCAAGATGAAATGCTTTATTTACAGCTCAGGCCGGGATCCAATAGACTGTCCATCTACAGAAAAATGTGCCTATCTGACGATGTCTCGCATTTAAAAGCTATTACTGCACTTTACATATCATAGCACAAATTCTTCAGGCCTCGAGTGATACAGCTTTTGGCAGGGACACCCCTTTAGTGGAAAAACTACTCGTCACTGGAATAAAGGCACTGCGTTTGTAACCGTGGAGGCATAAAAAGTTGAGGATCAAGAATCCACATGAAATTAAAGGAGGATAATCCATCCATTTTATAACCACAACCCAGCACAGGGTCACGGGGGTTGTTGGAGGTTGCACCCTGGACGGGACGCCAGTATATCGCAGGGCAGAGAGACAAACACACTCGCACACACTCACACCAGGGCCAATTTCCCCAGAAAAACCAGAGAACCCAGAGAAAACCCAGGTGAACATACAAACTCCACACAGATAGCACCTCAGGTCTGGAATCAAACCCAGGGCCCTGGCGCAGAGAGGCCGTAATGCTAACCGCTATGCCACCCCAAAGGAGGATTATTAAGAAACAAAATTTGCCATTCAGCAGCCATATCACCCTGCAACTCACAACTGGCAACCCACTGAAGCTAAGCAGGTGTGAGCCTGGTCAGTACCTGGATGGGAGACCTCCTGGGAAAAACTAAGGTTGTTGCTGGAAGAGATTATTAGGAGGCCATGATTGGTGAGGGGCCAGCAGGGGGCGCTCACCCTGCAGTCTGTGTGGGTCCTAATGCCCCAGTAAAGTGTCGGGGACACTATACTGTAAAACAGGTGCCGTCCTTCGGATGAGACGTAAAACCAAGGTCCTGACTCTCTGTAGTCATTAAAAATCCAAGGGCGTTTCTCGAAAAGAGTAGGGGTGTAACCCTGGTGTCCTGGCCAAATTTCCCATTGGCCCTCACCAATCATGGCCTCCTAATAATTGGCTTCATTACTCTCTGCTCTCCTCCCCACTGATAGCTGATTTGTGGTGACCGTTCTGGCGCACTATGGCTGCTGTCGCATCATCCAGGTGGATGCTGCACACTGGTGGTGGTGGAGAGGAGTCCCCATTACCTGTATAGCGCTTTGAGTGGAGTGTCCAGAAAAGCCCTATATAAGTGTAAGCAATTATTATTATTATTATTATTATTATTATTATTATTATTAAAATACTTATTGCTGGTTACTTAAAAAAAAAACTCGACACAAAACGCAGCTTGAAATCTTGGAAGGACAGATGTTACCTGTCTCTAGAACGTACATAATGCTGGTCAAGATATCTCTCCTTTCTAGAAAGGGTCAGATCCACAAACCCCGTTTCATC